CAAATAATCAGAGAAACTAGATTATATGAAGAACACAGCATTAGGATTGGAGGAAGAATGATCAACAATCTGTCGTATGCAAATGATACAACCTTGCTTGCTCAAAGTGAGGACTTATAGCACTTGCTAAAGATCAAAGATTGAAGCCTTAGAATGGATTACCACTTAGCATAATGACCAAAATCCTCACAACCAAATCAATAGGGTAACATCATGATAGATGGAGAAAAGACTCAAGTTGTCAAGACGCCCCACTTGTTTGGATCTACAATCAATGCTGCGGAAGCAGCAGTCAAGAGATGAAATGAGTTGTATTGGGTAAATTTACTGCAGGAGACCTCATTAGAGTGCTGAAAAGAAGGAAGATTACTTTGAGGACTATAGTGCCCCTGACTCAAACCATGGTATTTTCAATTGCCTCATATGCATGTGAAAGTTAGACAAGAAAGACTGAAGAAAATTGATGTTTGAACTGTGGTGCTGAAGAATACTCAAAGTACTGTGGAATGCCAAAAGAACAAAGGAATTTTGTCTTGGAAACACAGCCAGAATTCTCCTTAGAGTCCAGGCAGACTTTGTCTCAATGACTTTTTTTTTAAAAGATAATTTTATTAGGGGTTCTTACAGTTCTTATAACAATCCATCAATTGTGTCAAGCATATTTATACATATGTTGCCAACATCATCTTCTAAACATTTACAACCTATTTGAGCCCTTGGTATCAGCTCCCCTTTTTTAAAAAAAATCATTTTATTGGGGGCTCATATGACTCTTATCACAATCCATACACACATCCATTGTGTCAAGCGCATTTGTACATTCATTGCCCAGGTCTGTTGTCTCTTGCTGCCTTCCTCCACTGAGTCACTGCAGCTCCAGCATAGCCCGGGCATCAGGGCTGCCGCCGCAGATGGCTGCCTTCTACCCACTCCTACCTTTTTCCATCTCAGGTTTCTGGAGGTTAGGGACTACTTTCTCCTAAAGTACTATATACCAAACTGGAGGGAAAAGTGACCCAGCCAGGTAAAAGACCAGGCAATAAATACTACCTCACATACCTGGCTTTGAAAAAAAAATTAAAAAGCTTTTCTATGAAAAATGAACAGCTGGATCCCAAGGTAGAGTTTTGATTACTGGGTTGTTCATAGTGCAGACATTCCTGAATATTCAAGATGGCTGTCAGATGTTTGGAAAGGGGGCAATTTCAGTGTCTATAATAGGCACAATTTTTAAAAATCATTTTATTGGGGGCTTGTACAACTCTTATCACAATCCATACATCAATTGAATCAGGAATGTATGTACATATGTTGCCCTCATTCTTTTCTAGACATTTACTTTCTATTGAGCCCTTGGTATCAGCTCCCCCTCCCATCCCCCCCTCATAACCCCTTGATAGATTGCACATTGTAATTATTTTCATCTCACACCAACCAGTCTCCCTTCTCCCATGTTTTCTCTTGTTCTTTCCCCTGGAGAGGGATGTGTCGATCATTGTGATTGGTTCCCCCTTCTCCCTTCCTCTCCCCCCTACCCTTCTGGTATCACTATTCTCACTCCTGTTCCTGGATTGTGTGTCGTGAGCTCCCATCCCTTTCTATACCTGTGTACATGTTCAGGTCTAGTGGGGGAAGAGGAAGCCTCCAGGAACCAGAGGAATATAGTGTGACTCATCCCTTCCCTGTGGCCCCTCTGTGGGCATTGTTCCACTGTCTGCAGATGGGCTTTCGATCTCTGCTCCAGCTGCCTCATTCTCAACGTTTTTGTTGTGTCTGATGTCTATTACCGGGTCCCTATGACTCCTCATGATTGCACCAGTGGTGTGCTTCTTCCACGTGGACTTGTTGCTTCACTGCTGAATGGCAGCTTGTGTAACTTCAAACCTTTAGGACCCCAGATGCTTTATCTTTTAATAGCCGAGCACCATCTGCCTTCTTCACATTTGCTTATGCACCAGTTCTGTCTTCAGTGATTGTCGGGAGGGTGGACATCTCAGACTGTAGATTTGTTAGAACAGTGTTTTTGTATTGGGGGAGTATATGAGCAGAGGCCAAAGTGCATCCCGTACCTCAGTGTATTGCTGTATAAATATATGTACATGGGCCAATACCTCTACTTTTGAGGATTAATGTATTTACATATGTACACCGCTGTTTATACCTCTATCCATCGCTTGGCTTCCTTGATCCTTCCTGTTTCCTTTTACCTTCTTCCTGCCCCACTGCCACTTTCCTTATTTCCACCTCTTAGCTAGTTTGCTGTTGCTCTGACACACCCCCTCTCCACCTCAGATCCCTATCTCCTCCTCGTTATTGACTCCAACACCCCTGTTCCTCTGTCCATGGCACAGCCTGCTCACCGCCCCCCTCCACCACCCTCACCTCCCAGGTCTCCCGAGGGCCATTGGTCCCACTGCTGTCTCCCGGGGCATGCCTCCCGAGGCACAATTTTCTGTCAGCAGCCTCTGCTTTCACTCCATCGTCTCATTCTTGTCTCAATATACTGACTGACACTGCTTAAAGAAATTACTTTGCCAATGATAACACCACAAAGAAAAAACAAATTCTGCTTTATTTTTTGCATATTTGAATTTGAAAAATACTTGGAACCAGCATAGAAAGAAAAAAAAAAGACAAACCCCCTGTGGTAAAAGTTACTTTAAAAAAAAAAAGGAGAAAGGCCTGAGAGTAATTACTGCCTTAGCTCCAGGGAGCTACAGCAACTCTGATTGGTCCAAGGAATCCGGAAGATACTGGGAAACTAAAACAGAAGACAGGAGAGTGAGGATTTACTGAGGGAGAGGGCCTCGCAGAGGGCCCCGGGGAGGAACTGGAGGCCGAGGAGTGGGTCTGGGTGGAGGAAGGGGCCCCCGCTGGTAGCCATAGGGTGGAGGGCGTGGCGGGCCAGTGTATCCATGCGGAGGCATCAGCGGAGGAGGTCCTCGCATGCCATGCGGTGGCATTGGACCTGGGTGACCTGTAAGAGAAAAAAGTCAGTAAGAGCAAGAAATAGTAGACAGCTGACATTGGGAGACCGGTGGGGAAAGGACAGAAAACAGAGAAAAAAAGGCAAAACAGTAAAACAAAGAAGGGGCAGAAGGCTGAAGGGCGGGATACAGGAAGGTCTAAAACATAGTATGGATAGATGATCAAGGAAGTGGCTAGAACCTACTCACCCATGGGCGAGCCAAATGGAGGCCCTCTTGGGGGCATGCCCATTGGAGGGGGTCCGGGATGAGGCATTCCAGGTGGTGGTCGGGGTGGTGGCTGTCCCCCAGAGCCTGGGGGCCCCGCATGGGGATGTCCTAAGCCATGGGGGCCATGGTGGGCCAGCTGCATCTGAGACATCCCTACGGCAATAAAATAAAAAGCTTTTTTAAACGGAGGGTAGCAAACAGGGTAAAGAAAGTGGAGAAAAGAAGAGAACACAATGGATAAAGGAAGGACATAGCATTAGGAAGAGAACGGTAGGGAAAATAAGGCTGGTAAAACACCTATCCTTGACCTGCTTCCAATGGTAATAAATATACCAACTACCCATAGACTCCTTACCTGCACTCCTATCACATAAGCACTGTCTCGGTGAATGATATGTGATTAGTCTGTTGTCAGGTTTTGAGACAGTGGCAGAGATACTGTCTGAACAAAGGTCTAATTATTAACATAAAGGATAAATATGCGTTTTCAGGTGACCAGGAAGAGTGGGAATAGACCAGGTCTAGGAAGAAAGATGAGCATGTACAGAACACAGATGTGTCACACAGCACACGTGTCCATCCAGTACTCAGTGATAAGTAAGAACCCGACCAAGAAAAGCCTCAGAGGGCCACGGTAATGGGTTTTGGTTTTACTCTAGAGGGAAAAGGAGAAAACAGAAGAGTTTTGAGCCAAGAGTGTTTCAGAAAAATTATTCTGTAAAAGACAGATCAAGGGCAAAGACAACTGGAGCCAAAGTGACTAGTTAGAAGATTACTATGAAAAACTAGGTCTGAAAAAGAGAGGCGGGTCTGAACTGGCAATATGGTGGATTCCAGAAATATTAGGAAGACTTGGTATTAAGAGCAGAGATAACAGGGAATAGGAAATACTGCTCCCAGATTTCTGAATTAAGCATCTGAAAACAAGAGAATACTAGAGGAAAAGTAGATTTGTAGAGAAAAGAAATCTCATTTTAAGTCACATTTGGTTTGAGATGCCAAGAGTACAGCAAAGTGGAGCTGTCCAGTTAAGCAGAGTTATGGGTCTGGAATCTTAATAATCCTGGTCTGAAAACACAGAACTTTTCAGTGAATAATGAAAAATAGGCAGGAAAGAGAATCAACCAGAAAAACCTAGGTGCAAACAGAGAAAAAGGGAGCTATTAAGAAGGCAGAGAATGAGGTGTCAGAGAGGAAAGAATTCAGAGAAATAAAAATCCAAAACAGACAAGATTTTCACAGAACATGGTCAGTTTCAAGTTCAGTAGAGGTCAAAGTGAAAAAAAGAGACATGTCTCCTAGGTTAGGTCACTTCTGGGTGGAAGTAAAAGGAGAGAACAGAAATGTTTAGGAAACAAAAGGCTACAAGTGTAGCCTTAATTTAAAAAGTGTAGATGATTTAAAAACAAGCATACTCAAGAAACAGACAGAGTCGTGGATGCTGCGGTAAGACTAAAATATCTAGGTTTTGTTTAAATAAAAGGGTGTCTGAGTGATCATAAAGCCCTCTAGCAAATTCATCCCCTCCCACTTTTCCCCACCAAAGAACACATACCTGGATGGGGCATCCCACCTGGTGGGAATGGGTGGGGATGAGAATGTCCATGTCCAGGATGTCCTGCTCCCGGGGTTCCTGCTGATGGGGGGCCATGCCCTCCAGCTCCAGGAGGCATAGGTGGTGGCGGCATGGCTGGGGGTATGCCAGGGGGAAGGGCTCCAGGTGGTGGCACTGGGGGTGGGAAGGAGCCAGGAGGAGGCATCCCTATAGAAGAAATGGAAGAAGGGTTAAAGTTCATGAGAAGAGAAGGTCTTGGCAAAGTTTATCCCAATCATGCCTCTCCAGGGATGAGCTCTTTCCCAACTCTCTAAAGACAGAAATCCACCAACTTTCTTCCCCACCATAAACATTCTTCTCATCACTCGCTAATTCACTGTCCTTTTTCCAGTTCTTTGCCTTGCTCCTGCCCTCCCCGCGCCCTCCCCCACAAAACACATTTTGAATCAAAAACTTTACCTGGTGGAGGAAGCCCAGACCCCAGTGATGACACCACAGGATTGGGGGCAGAAGGTGGAGGGGGTGCATCTGCAAACAGCTGGTGAGGGCGGTCAGCCTGGGAGAGTGGATTCTGGGCTGCCAGGAGCCTTTCAGCTGCTGAGCCATGCCGCTCACCCTTCGAGTCCTTCTTAAAGGCATAAGACACGGTGATGGGGCGGTTACACAGGTACTGCCCATTCATGGCCTCAATCGCTGCATCCGAAGCATCAAATGACGCAAAATTAATGAAGGCATAACCCTTGGAGTTGCCTGTGTCAGGGTCCCGCATAATCTTGGGGGTTTGTAGGATGACCCCAAAGGCGCTGAAAGTATCATAAAGCAGCTTCTCATCAATCTCTGGGTCCAGGTTCCCAATAAAAATATTGGCCCCCACATCCAGGTTTTTGTTGTGAGCTGATGCCTTGTTCACTCGGATGGGTTTCCCATAGAGTTTGATCATGTTCATGATCTTAATGGCGTAGTCAGCATCTTCCTCACTCAAGAACTCCACAAAGCCGTAGCCTGGGGAAGAGAAGGAGGGGAGGTAAGCAAGGCAAGAGGTTCAAAAGGAGCAAAGTTCACCCCGCGGCAAAGAGAAGGAAAAACCTCAGTCAGTGAGGATGGGACCTGGAACAAAGGTTTAAGCTAAAGGTGAGCTTGCAACGCTGCAGGGCCAGTCCCCTCAACACACAAGTGCACCTCCCGGCGTGTACTCACCTTGGTGCTGGCCGGTGACTCTATCCTTTGGCATGTGAGTGTTGACTACTGGCCCTGCCTGGAGGAACAGCTCCCATAAGAGGGGTTCGCTGACCTTCTCATCCAGGCCCCCCACGTACACCGTAGCATCTGCAGAGGGGGAAGGTTCGGGTAGATGTGAGCGCAGAAGAGGGAAAAGTGACAATATGAAAGTGGAACCCAGGCCGGGTCCGTGAGGATCGGTTTAGGCGACAAGACAAGGGCAAGAAAAATAAAGAAAACAAAACCCCAAACACCGTTAGATCGAGCCCTTGAAATCTCCCTCCGAGGGCGTCGAGCATTTTCTAAATCCCAGTATCCCAATTCTACTGTTCTCCGTGGACTTTCTCTTTCCTTTGGAGTGGGAAGGCAGCAGGGGATGGGACACCGACGGGGCCGCACCGCCGCAGGCCTCCGCGGCCCCCCCGCCCCTGCGCCCAGCAGGCCCCCCGTGCCCTCGGCGCATGTGGCCGCTCGCCCTGGCAGTGCCCCTGCTGGCCGGCTCAGCCAGGGTCTCCCATGCCCACTCTACGCGCGTCCCCTCCAGTTACCCTGGTTCCGCTCCGAGATCGGGCCGGCAGCCATGGCGAACGAGCTCCCGCCGTCTCCAGGCAGCGGCTCCGCCTTCTGACCTCAGCCGAGGCTTCCACTTCCAGGGCAGAGGTCGCTGTGGGGTGGTGGGCGGGGCCTAGGGCGGGGAGGCGCCGGAAACGGCCGGAGCCATTTTAGGATCTCCGAGTTGCCGCGGCGAGTGCCCGCCCCGAGGAGGGCGGAGCGAACATTCTTAAGCTCTCTAGGGCGGGTTCGGTGCGAAAACACCCCAAACTGACTCCAAAAGGGCCAATTAGAAAGCCAAAGGTTAAGCTACAGCTCCTTTTCATAGATTGTGGTGCCAGGTAAGCTTCCGCGGTCCCACCTCCGCAAAGCGTGCGGAGGCCTGACGCCAGAGCTCGGCAGCCTTCCACCTCCGCCGCTCCCCGCAGCCCCCGTTCAGCTGGGGCCTCACTGGGGGCCTGGGCTTGGGGTATTTTGCTTCCGGAACACCCCAGCCCAGCCTTCTCCCACCCGCCCCTAAGTGGGAGGCCCTGAGAAATGAGCCCCTTTCCCACATTGTGCGTGAATTCTGCAGCGCTTCATCTGGCCCCCACCCTTATTTAATCGTCCTAGGGTGGGTGTCTCCCCCCGGGTCACCCTCGCCCTACACCGCAGTGACTTCATTTTTGGCCTTTCTGGGGATGAGCAGGGACCTTAGGTGGCAGCTGCATGAGAGAAGCGGGACTAGCTGCATCCGGGGAACGTGGTTCCCATTGGGAAGACTGTCTTCCCACTCTTCATCGAATAGGATGAACTACTCTTACTACCCAAGATGCCCTAGCCAAACACAAGAAACAATGCCAGCAGCATATAAATAGGCTTTAATGAACCCCTTAAATAGTATTGTCACTACAAAAATACACGGAGGAGGCAGGGTGTCTCCCATCTCCACCCCATTCTCGTGGAAAACTGTAAGAAGTATTCATTAGAATTAAACAGCAAGAAAGGTATACATGAGGTCTCTAGGTCATCTCCTTGGGATGAGACTAGTATCTCAGTTCTCTGCAATTTAACAGCTAGAGAATCCAGAATAGGTGATACTGCCTGAAGAAAGTGGAGCTCACAGGAAACAGACATCACCAGGTACACAGATAAGCGAGATAAGAATTGAGAGGTTTTGCACCACCCACCTACAATAGAAACTCAAGTCAGCTGAGGGAGTTTGTAAGAGCTGGTGTGTGGAAGCTGAAGCAGCAAAACCAGATAAGAAAAACAAGGATTAGAGAGACCTTCCCTCAGCCCAGCCCAGCCCGTGCCCTGCCTGTGAGAATGTGAGCCATTTCAGCAGGGTTGGGAGAGAATGGTATTTGGGTCTCTTTTCTCGGAGTGGTCCTCAGGAGATAGCCCTGGTGCCCATTTCCTTAATAGCTCCTGAAGACAGGATAGTTCATCTTGGAGTCCAGAGATTGTGGGAGCCAACAGGCCCATCTGGAAATGGAACAGATAGAAATATAGCAGGATCTTAGGCCTATGCTTCTAAGATCCATCACTTCCAGTGTCTTCAATTCTCTCTATTCCAACTACACCCTAGGCTCCACTTGATCTAAGCCACAGTTTCTCCCTACCCTCCCAAACGTATCCCTTTTGATACCAGCAGAAATGGTCGGTCTTCTCCCTCTTCTCTTCCAGTCCCTTGTCATTCCAGCTCCCATTCATCTGGTTCAGCAGTCACCCTCTCTCCCAATCTCTGTCTTCCCTTCTCACCTGAACCTCAGGCTTTCCCCTCAGATAGCAGCGTTTCCAGAGCTTGATTTGGGGTCCCAGGTATCCAGGTATCAATAGCCCTGGAGGTAAAGGGCAAGCCCCCCAGTGTGAGGGGAGCCCCCATTCTTGGTCAGCCAAGCTTTCAGTGGAGATAGCAGGCCGGGGAAGCCAACGAGAAGAGACTGCCAGCAGGGAGGGGCTGTCCTGCCAAGGACAGAGCTGATTCAGGGGAGTCAGGGCCCCTCTGGAGAAGAGCCACACAGATCTGGGAGGTCCTGGAACCATGAAGCTCAACTGGAGGGAAAAAGAAAATAATTGGCAAACTAGAAAGCAGACCACACAGTTTTCCCAAGTTAGGAAGGAACAGATATCAACTGCTACTGCACTAATGACTGGAACTTCAGTTCACTGCCTGCGCTCTTTCTGCTCTCCTTAGGATTCAAACCAGACCCCAGAACTAACTGACAGTTAGTAATTTAGGGAAACCTAGCAAGTGTGTTGGGTGACTGGAAAGCAGATGAAGGTAAAAAGGATGTTTCCTTGGCTATTTTAGCGTTTCTGCCTTTCCGGGGCCCGGGTTACGCCTTGAGCTGCTAACTGCAAAGTCAGCAGTTTGAAACCACCAGCTGCTCTGTGGGAAAAAGATGAGGCTTTCTACTGGAAAGAGTTACCGTCTTAGAAACCCACAGGGCAAGTTCTACTCTGCCCTATAGGGTCACCATGGGTAAAAATGGCCCCACAGCAGTGAGTTTATTTACTTATTTTGGTCTTTCTGGGGATAATCATGGACTGTTAGTGGCAGCTGCATGAGAGAAGCGGGACTCGCTGCATCCGGGGAACTTGGTTCCCATTGGGAAGACCGTCTTCCCACTCTCTTCATCGAATAGGATGAACCTCTGGTAAAATTAAGGCCATTTAGTATTAAAGACATCTCACCTGCTGTCTAGGAAAACAGGAATCTGGGCAGTGCTCGGGGTCATAGCCAAGGTTATGGAATTGTTGTATCTGTTTATTGCTGTAGCGTAAACCCCAGTCCCAGACAGACAGCTGCTGGTTAACAGCATTCCCAGCTGGCGGGGTGTAGACTTGTGTAAAGGACTTGAACTGGTCAAAGGAAGCAAGAAAAAGGATGGTTAACTAAAATATGTAATGCTCTCCTTTGTGTAAATAATCATGACACGCTCACATCTTACTCCTAAAATCAAATGTAAGGCGAAGTTCAGATAGTGAGCATCAACCTCCCCAGTCCCTGCCTGTGGGAAAGTGCAATTACTTTCTATGGTTCTTCTATGCATAGTCCTTGTAAAAACATCAAATGACTAGGTTGTGCAGGGGCAGTGAATAATTAGTAGAAGTGTAAAAGTCTCTATGGAGCTGGGACAGTTTCACTATCCCAATGGGTGTAAACAAGCCATCTCAAATGCAGGAAGAGGGAATACCATGACCATTAAGAAAGAAGCACCCAAAACAACAACAAAACGCCATCAGCAGGGTGCACGAGCAGTTCTGACCCAAAGTGACAGAGGTGGCAAAAGCCACAGCACCAAGAGCCAAGGCTGTGAAACAATAAGGGAGCCACACTGAGACTGTGAGACAGCAGCACAGTGCTTTTCGGCAGGAGGCTGGCTTGTAGAATGGGGTGCCCTTTGAGCATTTTATTGGCGGCACTAAAGGAGCTATGTAACACTTGCCTAGCAGAACAGAGGCTACCAGACCAAGAACCAGAGAGAGATGGACCTGCTGGCATGACAGAGAAGTGGGGCTACTGGGAACAAAAGGACTGTCCTTAATGCTCTCTGTTCCTAACTTGTGGCAACCTATTAACTTGCCTAACAGGTCATGAGTATTGTCTATGAGTTCTCTGTTGTGACTACTGCAATGGATTATTGAACCCCGCAGAGAATTAGAACAATGTAGGAGAGCTAGTTGGTGTCAGAATAAAGGAAGTGGAGGGGGGAGATATGTCTGACTTCTTTTTCGTGGCAATCAGCCTTGGGTGTATGTGACTTTCCTCTTTTCTAGCCAAAGGAGGTCAGACACGCCCCCCCCTCCCCCAACACCATTTCCTCACTATCCAATAAGATTACCTCTCCCATACTCAAAACAAATCAAGCTAAATTTGAGCGTTTACTTCTCAGTGGGGAAAACAGTCAAGAATGGAAGTCACTGACCTGTCCACCCTGCTTTCCACGTTCCCAGGGAGTATCTCTCAAGAAGGTAAGGGTGTCAGGAACCCTGATGCTGTCATGAAGAGCAAGAAGAAAAAACTCTGAGAATTCAAACTCAGTTGGAAACTGCTGGAGGAGCTGCCAGACACAATCAAGGAAGAGGAGAAACACGGGAGCCTGAGAAGAGGGAAAATAAGAGGTTACAAGACTTGGTCAAGATCTAGAAGATCACAATTAAGGGTGGGGGATACAGGCAGGGGACCCTGAAGCGGTCAGGAAATCGGAATTAAGGGTTGTATGGAGTTGTGGGACCTCACTCATTTGGGTCTCCCTCTTGAGCACAGCTCAACCTCAGGACCCACCCGCTGACCTGATTCTTCTATAGTGGATTATACTGGACAATTTCCTCATTCTTTTCCTTAGTAATACCTCCCCCCATTACATTCCAGAATCCTTCTCACCTCCTCATTGCCCCCAGTTCCCCCAAGCCGAGTCAGGAAAGGGTGTCCAGCGGCCACCCACTCTCGTTGTACCAGTGATTGGAAGCCAAGCAGTGTTCGGGCTTCATGGGCCGAAAGCAGCTGGGCGAGTGAAGAGAGGAGGCCATTGAGATCACGATCACCGCGCTCTGGGTTTAAAGAGGAGAAGGAGCAAAGCCGGGTGGCCAAGAAACTAGAGCAGGAGAGAATGGGAAAGGAAGCGTGGCAGGAGAGAGACGGGGAGGAGAAGCATTTTGGGGTAGGGAGGATTGAGAGGGCACATAGGAGAAGTGAAGAGAAAACAAAGGTCTTGAATGACTCACTTCATAGATTCCTCCAGGGTAGAAAACCCCGCTTCATCGCGGGACGCAGAATCACATTTGTCAAACCAGCAGTGCCGTTGCCCTTCCCTCCCCAATCTGAGCCCCAACCCCTGAAGGCAGGGAGCCAAGGGTTGAGAATCCTAGGGGTAAGGACCATAAGCTACAGTGAGGAGGAAGAGGTGACATCGAAAAGGGAAAGAACTCCTGGGTGGTTCCTAGTAACCAAAGACAAGGGAGCTAGCACTAGAAGGGGACAAAGGAACCTTAGGGGTCTCCTTCCCTGGCAGAACTCAAATCAGGTAGATAAAGGAAAAAGGCAAGGAGTGGAGTGGGGTAACCCGTGGAACTCACCTTGAAGTACTACAGAGCGAACTCTGGATGTCACCAAGACTGAGATGTCACTGGCCTTTCGGAGACAAGACCTGGAAGGACAGGAATAGTAAGCCTGGAGGAAGACAGTGATAGGTCATGGGATGGATGGAAGCACCCCACCAAATCCTGCCCCTTTGAAGGATAAGGAAACAACAATCACCTAGGAGGCCAGGGAGAAGAACTGATGGAAGGCCATTTAGGAACCCAAGTAACAGAAGGCCAGGGAGGACTGTGTTATATAAACCATGACTAGTTAAGGGGCAGTACCTGACACAGTCCAACCATCGAGTTCCTTCCAGGGCCGAGAGCCATTTATCGTCAGCTACAGATGAATCTGGGAGAGAGCAGAGGGTCAGAAGGATAAAGAAATTGGAACCTGGAATTCAGGTTAGAGTCTGTAGCCTGATGGGTTAAGAATAAATTGGGGCATGGTTGCCTAGATATAGGCGTACAAATGAGGGGTCACTATAAATGGCTATGAAGTCCCTAAAAATTAAATTGTGATGGCTATACAATAAATATGATAAAATTGAACTGCACACTTTAAACTGGGGAAGGTGAATTTTATAAGTATATACATGATTTGTCAATAAAGCTGTTAAAAATAGTTGGAGTCAGGAAAGCTGTGTCTGGGAGTACAGAAGCTAAGTGAATAGAAAACTAAGAATCACGGGACTGAATGTTTATCGACAACAGGCAAAATAGAAACCTTGCTAAGGTCAGTAGACTTAAGGGCAAGGGTAGGTACCAAAGTTTATTCTCACCAGGCAGGCAGAGGGCCCTCAGCCTCACGTGGGCAAGTTGGACATCTGTAAGACTGGGTAGCTCCTCCACAGTGTCTACCAGGACAACATCTGAATGCCCAGCCTGGAGCATTGACTCCATTGCTCTAAAGGGAGGGAGACACAAAGTAAGGGTTAGGCCCTGAACGCCTAACCCTCGATTCCTCCCTCAAGCCTCCTCTCACCTGATATCTTCCTTGCTAGGGTCACTGGCTGTATAAAAGCCTCCACACCGGAGAAGATCGCTGCCCCCAGGGTGGTGCCAGGACAGCCGCTTCAAACCAGTAAGAGAGGATCATTGTGGAAGAAACTCAGTCTTCTCCCTACCCTTGCTCCCACACTGACCTCACAGGAGTCTCTCCGTTCCCTCCACACTGACCCCTGACCCCCCATGACCTCAGCCATTCTGACCCTCATACTGACCGGTCCACGGCCCTGATGGAAGTGACCAAATGCTCTTCTGACCTCACTGTCCAGAGTTCGGTTAGGGACCCAGAAGTACCGGGGGAGGCTGTGAAATTGAGTTATATCACTGCTTGGCTCAGTGACCTAATGGTAGTGAAAAGCTTTTATTACAAGAAGCGGATTTGGAGGAGACAAGGGATCTCAGGTTTAAAGGCCATCAAAGTATGGGGGAAAGCTTGTGGATATCCTAGGAGATTAGAGTTTAGGGTGAGGACTAGTTTTAGAAAATCAGCAAATTGGAAGACTGGAAGGGTAGCAGGTGTAGGGGTAGACTGGGGGAATCACCTGGTGGCTATGTCGAATCTCTCATTGACAGTGCTGACCCTCCAGCCCCTGGCTCCCTGCTTCTTCCGCTCAGCCTCCCAATCTTCTGATGTTTCCAAGAGCGGAACAGGTGGTTTTCTGGGGCCAGAACTCTGACCTGGGGCAGGAGTGAGGCCCCATAAAAGGAAGAAGAATATCCCAAGAAAGGTTGACTGAAGAGAATGAAGATGAAAAACCCAGAGCTCTTTGCCTTCATTCATCCTCTGCTTTTGCAGACTCCTTTCCCCTGCCTCTGAAGCTCCCTCACTCACCAGCTGTGCTCAGGGTTACCCCTGCATACAGTTGATCTTGATAGGTCTGAGCTTTGGCTTGGATAATGGCCATGGTCACCTGTGGAAAAAAGGACATCTCAGCTTTGTAGCTCAGACCTGAAGGAGTGAAAAGAAGGAATGAGGCCCACGTGTCTCCACTGTCACCAATAGGGAAGAACAATGCAGACGGTCCTTCAAGAAGGGTGCCACTACAGGTCATTGGGACTGGGGTCAAGAGGACAAATCTAGAACCGCCGTACCACAGAATGCCGATTCATGGGGGAATCTTAGGAACACTCTTATCTAAGTCTCCACAGTTTTCAGAGGGGAAAAAAAATGCCCACATTTACACTGCTGGCCACTGGCAGAGGCTAGAATTTAGGCCCCTTCATATATAAATCTCAGCCTTTCCTTGAGTAGGGAAACAGGAGTAATGAGAGGACCCCTGGAGGGCTTCAAGGGGAAGTAATACTGGGATCCCTGGGGAGAGGATCCCAAGGACTTTAAGGGGAGGAGACTTTGGGTTGGGGCTACCCTACCTGAAAGGCCTGTGGCTCTAGTCCTCCCGCCTCAAAACAAACTCTGAGCAGTCGGAAGTCTCGGCCGTGGATCAGGATCTCCTCGGGGACAGATTTAAGGGACCCTGGACGGAGGAGCTGGACTCTGGACAGGCCACTCACTGAAGTCAAGAGTTAGCAGTTTAACATTAGATCAGGATCTCTCCAGAAGGAGCCCTTCCAGGCCACTCTACCTCATCCTGGCTGTCCTTTGAGGATAAAGGAAGGACAGGAGAGATTTCCCATACCCTAGTGAACCCCGTCACCAGACCCCCACACTTACCAGCCTCTAATCGTCCAATGTTGACCAAGGCAAAATCATACTCACTGCTCACAGGAATGTCCTAGAGGAGGAATAGGACACGCTAAAGACATACGTACTTGAAATAGCTTTGTTCTTACTTTGGCAGTCCCTCGCCTCCCACTGACTATTCCTAATGCATTCAACTAATAGGCCTTAACCTATAACCTTATCTCACTGTCTAAACCCTTCTAGACATCCTGTCATCTCTCATACCTGTCTTCTTACCTGGCTTCGTTGCCATCCACAGGGCTGGAAAGTGACCCTCAAGTTGGTGCAGATTAGTATTCCAGATAATTCGGGTTCCAGCCCCTTCCTTACCCCTGGGGCCCATGCTAGGATCTGCTCCCCTAAATGGGGAAGAGAGGAAGCAAGATTATGATACCCCCAGGGTAGCCCACAATTGTATCCTCTGAAGCAGGAGGGTCTAAAGAGGGAAGATAAGAGACCCTCCTGTAGCTCTACTGGAATGTGAACTTATTAGGATAGAAAATTTAAGGGTTTTTTTTTTTTTTTGGCGGGGGGTGGGTGTGGGTGGGGGGTGGGGTGTTTTTAAGCCTCTCTAACTCGAGTTTACATCGGTGTCCGGCACATAATAGGCACTCACATAGTGATTGAATAAGTAACTGTGGGAAGTAACAGGGTTAAGAACATAAAAAATAATTAGGGTCCAAACATTCTCAGCCATCTCTGGACAGGAGAATGCAAGCCTCAAGCAGAAGCACATCAGGCCAGAATACCAAGATATTGGAAAAGGTTTGGGACGCTTGAAAAACAGGTGTCTTTGGAGATCAGGGAGGAGCTCTGGTTGACATAGTGGTTATACCCCAGCCACTTCTCAGGAGAAAGATGGGCTTTTTACTCCCATAAAGAGTTAGTCTTGTAAACTGACAGGAACAGTTCCGCCCTGCTCTCTAGGGTCATCGTGAGCCTTACCTGATGGCAGTGAGTTTGTTTTGGACGCGGGAGGGGGCTGGGTTTGGAGATCAGAAGTATTGGAAGGATAGTTACCTGGGAGGCATCCAGAGGCCAGGAAACTGCTGGGCTGATTACTCCTGGGCTCCGGCATCCTGCTTCCCTGGTCTGACTTTGGTCTGGAGAGCTGCGAATGATACAGGGTAAAACCCTAAGCTTTCCTGATCCTGCTCTATGAGATTTTCAGCAGTCACCTTTAGAGACCTACATTCAGACTCGGGAAACTGAGATCTGTGGCTACAGGGAATTCAGGAAGAGTTAGCCGACCATAAAGGGAGGGGCTGGTTAATGGATAATGAGATAATAAACTTGAGACTGTGAAAAAAGCTGACCAAGCACCATCCATCAGCAGTTGAGAGTCACCCTCCACCTCTCCAGATCCGCCCCCCAACCCCCCACCCCATATCTCCTCAACCCCTTAGACAACCTTACTGACTTGCCCTCCTCCCAGGTTCCCTCTCCTTACCCCCATTTCTGGCTCCTCCTTTTGGGGGCTGATGTTGAAACTCTGGCCCCGGCCCCCCCACCACATTTTTCTGGCTCCATCCGGGGATGGAGCAGTTAAGGGTGGGAGACTTGGAGGATGCTCAATTCCTTAGGGAAGAGCCTGAATCTTGGCATTGAGAGGGAGGAAACAGAAGGGAGGTCACAGGGAAAGGGGCATTTGAAATGGACCAACACAGTCTGGGGGTCTTTTGAAAGATGTGTCCAACCAGAGTAAGGCTCCTCGGAAACTTAAGTCGCCTCCAGAGAGGGCGGGAGAGATGCCCAGCCCCTTAAAGGGGAATGCACAATTTTGGCAAAGTGGGAAGTGGAGGAACCTGGGGAAAGGAGTTGGGGAACTGGGAGAATACCACCCAGTCTTCTTTCTGCACCAAAGTTCCAGATCTTATTACCTCTGGTTCATGAGCAGTGGAGACGGTTTGATAGGAGCAGAAATACTCATGATTCAACGGGTCAGTTGGGCCCTCTCCTGTGTTCCCTCAGTAAAGGCTGCTCTGGGCAGCTCAGCTCTTTTGTATCCTCTTAAAATGAAGGAGTGTAAATCCATGCGGACCCACTATTGCCCCCTCCCCCAACATATCTTGGAGAAGGGGAAAGTGATGAAAATTGGACCTCAGGGGATCCTTGTCAGGAGATGCCCTAGAAGTGGGGAAGGGGACAGTTTTAATGGTTTTGTACGTTATGTCCAGGGAGCAGAAAACATAAGTCATGCAAATGTTATGGAGAAACAAGGCAAGGAGTGAAGATTACCTTCAGGTTATACAGGTGTGTGGGGTGCTAGTGTTGAAGGAGAGGGAAAACACTTTACTACAGTCAGCCTGTCACATAACTCTCTTCCGTTAGAAACATGGCCCCTCCCCTCCATCTCAGACACAAGATCTCCAAATTAATGATTCATGTTCAAGACTTTGAAAGCTGAGGGCTGGAAACTGAAGTGCAGTTTCAAACCCCACCTCTCCCCTCTTCCTTGTAACCCAAGAAGCAAAGATGAGTGAAGTGGTGAGCTGGGGGGCTGCAGCTCAAGGTGTGTGTATGGGGTAGCAATGCAAGAATCTATATTTAGACATTAAAGAAATCCAGGAAATTTTAAAAAGTTAAATCAGCTGCTGTTTTATTGTTCTCGAGTCCATACAGAGGCAGTCATCTTTAGGTGGGGGCTCCATTTTCCAAAGTGACACTCCATTCTCCCTCCCCACAGCACACACCCCCTTCCGGTTCCAGCTTCAAAAGTTCCCTGCCTTGGCTGCAACTATGGAAACGAAGAGATAGGGAGATATGAGATAGGGAGTCAGTCTGGAATGAAGAGGTATATGTACCTGCTAGCAAGGTGGCCCAGAAGCCTGATTCTAGAAGTCTTAAAAGCACCCCAGCACTACTACTGTACGCCCTTCTGGCACCTGCGTTCTGTGGAGCTCAACTTCTTGGGGAAGGGAGTTCTTCCCAAGGGCTACTGCAGTAAGAAAACAAGAGCACAGGAAGAGGTGTGCCACCATTTAACTATCTCATTTGCATTCTCCACCCTTCACTTAGGAGCCTCATTCTATTCTTCCTTCGAGATCTGGGAGCATCGGAGAAATACTGGGGGTGGGGTGGGGATGGAGACAACATCAAGGGAATGGTGGTGGGGGTTGTCAAAAGGGAAAGATAAATTGGGTGACTGGATCAGTACCCAGCCAGGAATGCAAAAGGGACCAGCAGCTGAGGGTTAACAGGACCGCCTCTCACTCCGCCCCCCAAGACATGCCCACTAGCAGAGGCTTAGCGGATGAAAATAAGGGTGGAGCGGCAGGAGGCTGTATCAGATTTTTCCATTTTCAGAATCCTGGTTTGGTTGCAGGTTTGTGCCAGGAGTGAAGGCTGCTGGGAGGGGTGGCTGGAGGAGGGAGGTGGAGTTCAGTGACTCACCAGATGAGTCAGATTCTGTTAAAAGCACAGAGGCCAAGGGCCTCCCCATCCCCCATTCCTCTCAGCTAGTTTCCCTTCTTCCCTACCACGCCCCACCCACCCACATGGCATACGAAGGCGGTGGCATGAACAAAGTCTATATGGGGGTATCACAATAAATATTTTGCTAAGTATAGGGGGCAAAATACCCTGTGTTGCAGATAGGGTATTTTCAAAATAAGTGCCTGCATGACTCACAAAATCTGCAGTTGAAAGGCATGGAGGGAGAGAATTAGGGGGAAAAAAAATCTGTTATATGTGATTCCAGGCCAGGATAGGGGCTTCGAATACTGTCTTACCTGTGGTTATATCTGGGGGCACACTGGCGAAAGGAGGGCACAGTGTCCAAAGGTGTAACAGACAATTCTAAGTGCTCCTTCTCTAGGAAAGATAAAAACGTGCCTGGAGCCCTGGGTTAGGAGAGAGAATGGCACATGTGGGCTTTATGCCATTCAGAACTCGTTCGTTTGGTCTCAGTATAACTCCCCTAACATACCAAATGAAGTCACTGCTGATTTTTGTCTTGTCTGACCCAACAGAACAGTTCCTTTCTAGGCCCTGAACAGTGTTAACCACCACTCCCTTTTCAAAAAAAATTTGAGCTTTAAAAATATATGCTTTTAAAATTATCTTTTCATTTTGTTGATAAAAGTATTATTAGGGGAAAACATTTCACTACATCTTCTCTCAACAAAACTAACATGGCTTAAGGGGTTACTTTGCAGGCCCGTCCTATTGTACCCTTGCTCCTTTGGCAGTGGGGTGGAAAAACTGGAGGGGTTAGCATGGGCTTAAAGCGGGGGGTGGGGTATAAAAAGCCTGAAAATCTCTCCCTCTCATTACCTCACTAGGTACCCTAGATGCCCTTGATTAAAAGACTAAGTGCACTTATTTATGCCTCATCTAGGGTTATGGGTTTTTCTCCCCCCTTTACCCACACACACTTATGCCCTACGGGACTTCTGCTCGCTCTGAATCAATGTCAATAGTGCCCCTTCCCCTTCTCCCCTGGACAATAATTATATGGGCTTGTCTTGTCCACCCCTTCTCTGAAAACACCACAAACCAACTCGTCTGTCTTAATTTCCCAAGAACGTTTCCTGCGCTCCTCTTACCCCACTCAACCCCCTCAGAGAATACAGCAAACTTCACTTTTTCCCTGTAAAAAAATACCTTTTGTCTCAAGATCCATCATCCTTAGGCCTTTTTCCCCTTTTCAAATGCCTCAATAAAGAATTCTTTTCAAATTAAAATAATTACTTAATAACCTACAGGGTCTAAAGCCCAGTAGTACTATTCTCATCCCTAAGCCAGTCCCCAGAATTTCAACTTTTCCTTAGAAAGAAGAATTGGGATTAATTTATAAAAACAAGCATCATACAAGGTTTCTGTTTTTGTTCATTTGTCCTCAACTATTAAAAAATAAAAAGTATCAACTAGAATCTAATAACAGATCAAATCCAAACACAGCAGTCCAGAGGAAAAATAAAACCTCCCAGGTTTTTCTGGGATACCCCCTGATATGTTTGCATTCATATTGGTCCAAGCCAGTCACCTGTGCCACCAAGGCCTACGGGAAAGCAGGTCCACTCTGCAACCTCAAGGTGTGAGCTTGAGCCACCTGTTGTTTGCATGTTTGCTGGGGGGGCTGGAGGTGGAAGTCTCACTAGTGTTATCTACAGAATGGGGCCCAGACTAGGTAAGGGTCTCACGTTGAGCACAAAGTTTAAGGAGTGCCCACTCAGTAGTCAAGATAAATGCATTATCTTAAATATTACAGTTCACAGGAGAAGGCTCTGGGAAGAGTGGGAGGAAAATGTGGAAGAGAACTCAGTCATGAGACCAGGTTACTGGTCAGACAAGAGACTAGAGGGGCCCTCAAGATTATCCTTCAGATAGGACCTGAACTCACCTCCACCAAACCTGTGAGATCAAAAGGGCAGCACTGACCTAAGGGCAAAGATCAGAGGGGACCGAGGAAGGAGGGGGACTAGAAATGGGGACCGAGGAGGAAGGAGTGGGACTAGGTGAAGGATTACAGTGGTTGAGTTGACTCCGAATGCGTATTAGTCACTGTAAAACTATGATCTGCTCTGAGAACCTTCACCTAATTCACACTAGGTTGGGGAGAGTGTAGGGAAAAAAACAAGACAACAAAAGTAGAATACCAGAATTCTAAAAGAAGGATTATACTCTCTCTATACTTGGCTTCATTCCGCTTCACTTTCCTCACAATATCGCAGTTCTGTTGGATCCGGTCTTTATTTAAATTTTTGCTATTTTGTTCACCATTGTTTCCCCATATGTTTACAATATTTTATTAAAATGTGTTTTATCTTGACTCATGAGCTTTTGGGGCACCTTTTTAAATTTTGCACCTGAGGTGAGCCTTAGTCTCAGCCTTACCCAGAATATATATCTGCTGCCCCTCCTCCCTTGGTTATTTCCTTTGATTTCACTGCAGCCTTAAAACTAAACTAGTTTCAAGTAAAAGCCCAAGGTTTCATAGCCATAGGAAATGATTACATGGACAACTATCAGATCTGGAAAGAGACATTCAAGTGTGTGGAGGACAAGCATCCAGGACGTCCAGTCTTGGCTGCAAGTGGGATAAAAACTAAATTGGCAAAAGGGGCAGCTACAGACAGGAATAAGCCCCCCTACTCTGCCCCGACTCCGGTCTGGCTTAGGTCATCTGTGGGGGGATTACATTCCAGGGGATGAGTTATGACTACATGCCTCAAGGGAAATCCACATACAGAGAAAAAGCCCCAGTCACACTCTGGACCCTTAAGTACACTTATTCCTCGTCTTTGCATGCACCCAGGAGTGTATACAATTGCATAGTTGATTTTATTTTTCCAGAAAAAAACATAAAGAAAAAGGAAAATTGGCCCAGGATAGGTCCTCTGGTTTAAAGCTCTTATAATCGGCTCTGGTCAGAGCATAAGCTTTCCAGACTTGTGCTTTGTGCAAAATGCAAAGGAGCTCCCTCCACGTGTCCACATCCTCACTCCCACCCCGTGAAGCGAAGGGTTGGGTCAAGGAAAGGGAGAAATCCAAAGACAGATCGGCTCATTCGGAGTAATCTGTGGTCTGTGGTTATAGTTCACTAAAATATATTTCTCTAACTACCTGTTTATAAATTGTCCCTAACCCAACCCTGTGTTTCAACATCAGTCCTAATATAAAAAATATCTCTTCTTACAAAGTATGTATTATTTTAATAAACCACAGATTAAGGTCAGCTATGGCTTAACAAAAGAAGTCGGGATGTTAAGTTCATTCTCCAAAAGTAGAGAGGAAGGAGAAACGATTACTTAAATAGGGCAAATGGGCAGGTGTTAGGTTCTTGTTTTGTTTTTTGCTTGGGGTGTCTTTTTCTTTACCTTTAAAAAATTAGCCCACAAAATAAGTTGTTTTCTACAGAAAAGCAATAGCAGCAGAAGATGGTAGTGCTCTATTTAGTTTTTTGGTTTGGTTTGAAACAGTCTGGCCAAATGTCTGCCCTTTCCCCACCCCTCCGCAGGCGCAGTTATACCCCCAATACATGTTATTGCTAAGCAGTTTAACACAAAGGGGCAGGGGGATCACCTCTACACTAGTTCACCTGGAGAAAATTCAGCTCACGCAGCTGGTCTTTTCCTCATTCCCTTCCCTTCCCTTCCCTAGAGGGAACTTCTCCCTTTCATAAAATAAAATTTTACAAAACAACAACCTTCTTAAGTTAGCTGAACTCAGCCCTTACAAAGGATAAGGAAAAGATAGGCATCAGTCTCCTCTCAAACCACAACACATGACAGGTGGCTTATAAGGAAATAAAGCTTGAGAGGAAAAGGATTCCCCTTCGAAGTTCTTTTCTTGCCCAACTGAGATTTAAATGAACCCCATCCCCTAACAACCACCCACGAGTGGAGAGACATTGCTGCGGCCTTTCGTAATCCTCCAGGAGGAAGACACTCAACCCTCATTTCTACCATCATTCAGATCAATAGCTAATTCGTCTCATCTCCCAGATTCCCCCAGCTCCCCACCTCCACCACATGTGCTTTTTTCCAACCTATCAGAACTTTGGTCTATTATTTCTTTATTGACTGAGAATCTTTTTTGCCTGTTATTAGGCCCACCTCCCACCCCAAACGTGGTGGGAGTTCCTGGGATAGGACTCAAAGTGTTATGAGACAAAACCATCATCTTTCCCCTTGTACTTCCCCCATGCCATCAAGTCCAGCTCTGCCAAGAATAGTACAGCCCTTGAGGTACCGTTCAGCCCTGCCTTGCTCTCGCCAGCCTGGCAGCAGCGCTCCTGCGCATACAAACACTTAAAAAGTCTCCAGCCAGGCTCCCTCAAACATCATTGTTTTCCCCATCAACATGGGGGCTTGGGTCTTGATGAGCCAATTTGTTAAGCTTATCTTTCTTTGTTTAGCCCCTTTGCCCTCCAAGGTGCCACGTGTTCAGAACCTGTGCACCAGCAATTCCCCACTTGGTTCACGTTCCCGCCGCCTCAGTTCTTCCCTGTAACAGCAGGAACAGAAGTTATTTGTCTCAGGGTGTCCATAGAAGCTGCAGTTAGGTTGTTTGCATTTGGTCTGGGTTGGGGGAAGCCCCCTGGGACCTCCAGCCCATCCATCGGGTTCAGGGGGCTCTCTATAGCCGTTGCTATAGGAATCAGCCACTCGGAAGGGAGGAGGTAGCAATGCACCCCTGTGAACGCCATCCTTGGTATGACTGCCTGGCTCCAGAGAAGGGCTGCTGTCCTGATGTGGGTAGGGCCGCACAGGGGGGTATTGTCTGGGGAAGGTGGCATATGGTGGTAGGCCTCCGCCACACGGACCCCCTGCCAGCTGCCTCCGGGGTTCTTGGCAGTGGACTCCACCCCCTGAAGGCCGAGGAATAGTAAACCCCCCAGGATAGCCAGTAGAGAAAGCCATTGCCTTGGACTCCGCTGGGGGGCTCGGCACCAGCTCCTCCCCACCATCTGGCTCTGGCTTTTTGGCTGGAGGAGGCCCACTCCCTACTCCTCCATTCATGATCTTCCTCTCTGCATCCTTCTGCTTCTGCTCTGCCAGGAATCTCTCCTCAGCATCAGAAAGGTACCGCTGGATCATCTCTTCCTGGTACTGGTGGCGGTGACCCATCTTCAGGGTTCCGACGAAAATGAACTTCCCTTCCCCTTGCATTGCAGTCCTCATAATGCTCAGACTCTGCATCACCTCCTGGCTATACTTGCTCCCTCCATTACCAACAGATTCAGGCACGGGCTTTTCAGACACAGGCCCATCCCCAGCTGCCTCCTCCTTGCCACATTTCCAGCTCTTCAGTGAGTTTTTCTTCTTCTTCTCCAGCGTTTCAGTGCCACTACTCACCCCAGATCCAGTTCCCAAGCCTGCAGGCTTAGAACCCTTGCTGTGCATCAGGCCACCCATGTTCTTCTTGAGCTTGCTGCCCAAGGTTTTGCCAAAGCTGCCCAACTTGTTAGCCACAGAATCTGCTCTCTTCTTGTCTTTCTCCCGATCTCGTTTTGACTTGTCCTTCCGCCTGTTGCCCTCATTGCTGGTAGAACTGCTGCCAACTGACTCCTTGTCTGACTCCCCAGACTCGGGCGTAGATCGAGGCTCATCTCCAGCTGAGGCAGTAGGGGACTCAGGCTGGGCCAGGGGAGCCTGGGGGAGACAAGAATGGTGTTGGCAGTTAACCAATTGGTCTGAATCGAGGGGACCCCCATCAACCTACCTAACGTACCTATCTGGCTCAGGGGGTTCCCTACAGCCACCGCTACAGGGATCAGCCATGTAGAAGAGAGGCATTAACACTCCTTTGAACTTCAACCTGGAGAGTCTGCCTAGCTCAAGAGGAGGACTGCTGTCGTGATGGGGAAGGGGGGGTACCTGGTCCATTCCCATCTCCAGTCACCTCTCAGGCCAGCCAAGCAAAAATGTGTCTTAGAGCTACATTTCCTTTCACCCGAGGTAGCCTGATTTCCTTTGGGAATAAGGTGGTAACACGATCAAGCCTGGCCACTCTTCTAGAGTAATGAGCAACCACTGTGGCCTCTGGGTGAGGGCGAGACACTTCCACACACAGTCTGGAATATATTTTGTCATCGATGTCTGTGCCAAAGTCTAGCCATTCTCCATTCCTCAGCTTGCAAGCTTTCAGCCAGGGGCCCAGCAATTTGCCTTGCTCTTTTACTCCTGTTCCACACATAATAACGTGGTCCTGGGAGCCCCTCTGCACGATACAGAGGTCAAACTACAGAGAGCTTAGGACAACGTAAGGATGACACCGTATTCATCAAAAAGTCCAGACAACTTTCCCTATAGAATATTTTAGCATCAGAAAGTACAGCCTGGTTGGAGAAAAAATGAAAATGGAGGGGACTAAAAGGAATAAGGGGCAGGAGAAAAGGCATCCCTTACAACTTACCTGATACCTTCCAGTTATGCCTAACCTTGAATTATAAGACTAAGACACACACACACACTCCCTCTCTCACTGCCATTGACTGGATTCCGACTTATGGTGACCCTAAAAGACAGGGTAGAACTGCCCCTATGGGTTTCAGAGGCTGTAACTCTTTACAGCAGTAGAAAGTTTTCATCTTTCTTCCAAGTGGTGGCTGGTGGCTCTGAACTGCTGACCTTGAGGCTAATAGCCCAACATGTACCTAACTACAGCACTAGGGCACCACTTAGCCCATATACAGAAAGAGGTCTCCTAGTTCTTTCTGTCACTGACATTGCAGGTCATCACCACAGGGATGGCAGTGAAGTCTACCTGTGCATCAGAAGACACTGGGATCCACTTCACATTCATGTAGCTATGCAGCAGGTGCAATTTGATTTCTAGGGATAGAATTACACTGTGAAAGGAGAAAAAAAAAACTTACTATAACTTCTAAAATGCAAAGCAGTATGATTCAGTTAAGAGGTAGGGTGCAATGCAAGTGGTTACGTAGCTGGGACTCATCCTAGGAATGGGTTTAAATTACAGTTCCATTAACCGCTCGCTGTATGACCTTGAGCAAGTCATCTTGATGTCCCTGAAACACCACTGGGGTTGATAACAGGGATGGAGAATCCTATTTACCCTGCAAGGCTGTTATGAAGATTGACATACAGTTGCTATAAAATAGGAAATACTTACTAAACAGAATATATTGCTAAATTACTATTATTTAGTAATAACTTACAAAATAAATTACTAGTTATTACCATAAATATTATATAGAAGAATCATTTGCTAATCAAATGAGGGCTTACTTTTTTTTTTTTTGAGGGCTTACTTTTAAAAGTCATAAATTCTAGATTTTTAAAGCAAACTCTCTCAGCCGGGTCCCAGCTGCAGGACCCCAAAGGAGAAGGGAGGTATTCAGTAAGGGGAGAGTTGGTGTTCATATGTCTTCCCTAGGGAAATTGTGGAGGGGGGCGGGCCGTCTTTCTAGTCAAATGCCAAAAAAGAAAAAAAATCAGCAGATCGTTTTGGTCAGCTATTTAAATCCCTTCTCACTTGGGAGTGGAAGTGTGAGCTGATAATCTTTCTTAGTTTTCTGATCACGGTGACAGGGATTCTGGAATATATAAGGGCAGGAACACTCTTCCTACTTAAGAGTGAGTCAAGTTACTAGTTTTTCTTTCTCCTTCAGGGAGAAAGAACAGCTGCCCAGTGTAATTCACTTGGCCTTGCTCAACCGCTGTCTCCCTCCTCTCCATCTTCCCAAAGCAGAGCTAGGACGTGACAGTCTTGCCTCTGAGCTGGAGCGCATCCCCAGCAGACAGATGCTGTACGTGGAAGTAATTCCAGCTGCCCAGTAAGCAAAAAGGCTCGGTCTGCCTCACCTGGCTAATCGGACATTGTCACTGTCATCTTTGCCCCATTCCCAGCCCTTTCCAGGATCCACAGCAAAGTGCAAGGGCAACAGTTTATGCTCTGAATCTATAAGTGGGATCACAGCTGGGGAGGAAAAAAAGAACATGTCACCAAAGAGTTGCCTCCAGGAGGGAGGAAGGCCACTGAACACAGACAGACTACTACGCTAAGGAGGAAGCAAAAATTATACCAAGGGTCAAGACTCCAGTCACTTCTCAATTCTTACATCTGAATTATTCCTGGCATTAAAAACCAATCCACCATGTAGCACCAGCCAGTAATTCCCACAACTTTCCACCCACTAGTCAAATAACAGTGATGTTCTTGCCAATTAATGTGTACTCAGGGAATTCGTCATTCTAAGATGAATGCAGCAAAGCATCATTTGGCAAGCCCTTTGATTCTAATACATCAGCCTTTTATTCTAGAAGAGAAAGAAGGGACATTAGGCTACCATGTTTTCCCCCCAAACTTTTAACAATCTTGGTAGCAAAGTAGGGATGAGGTTGTGCAACATGAAGGGTGTCATCCATTTCACTGAGTTGTGCATGTAGCAACTGTTGAATTTGCAAAGGTTTTCTTGTGCATATTTTGAACCACAGTGAAGAGAGAGCAGGAAAGCCAACCCAGTATGTCTCACAGCTTAGTAAAATGGTACCAACATGCACCGTCTAGGCCTACATGCCACCTCATTCTTCCCTCCTACATTATCTCGTTTCAATTTTTTCCAAGTGAAAATAAAGCAGACCGAAAGACCCCAGACACACAGACACGGATTCAGCACCTTGTTGCTGCGAGTTCTCCTTCTGCTCCATGGACACAAGTGCAGAAAAGTGGGCCTGATCGTAGGCAAGCACCAGAGGAGAGCGGTGACACTGGTTGGCTGGAACCTCCAAGGGCAGGTAGATCCCACCAAAGGGAATGGGGGCAAAGGCTGCAGAAAACCATGAAGATTATCAATACGGCCATGCCTCTTGCCAAGTCGACAGTCTCTCCACCCAACCCTGCCAATTAAGTCTCCCTTTCATTGCAGTCCCTGTTTTAATCATTCTTTCCCAAGAAGCCTTGTCAGCCAGCCCCGACTGCTGTATTCTGAGTCATTCGAGAACCAGGCATTGCTCTAATTTAGATTTTGCTCGTTTCTAAAGGTCTAGTCCATACCCGTAGAGCTCCTTTCCTGCAGTCCTCCCGGTCTTTAGCCCAAGGCTCTGAAAGCAGCAGGTGAAGACTGACCCGACTCACCTTCCCCCCCAGAGTCCCTCAGCATGGTGTCTGCCACGACAACAATTGGCCTCCTGAGCACGTGGGCAAGGACAAAGACATGGAACTCCTCCAGGCTCTCATACACAGGCTCTTCTGAACTCTCCACCCTAGAGGACAGGAAGAAAAATGGCAGAAAGGTACAGACAGCGGGCGAGGGAAGAAATACAAAACTAGAGACTCCTGAAGGCCAATGTGCGATTTAGTTAGAGAAATTGGGTCATTTATCCTGCAGTTTACCAACTCTGGACAGCATACAAGTTTAATGTCTTAGTATAGTCCTAGAGAAACCTTAGCCCAGCACACAAAACATGGTCTGCCAGTCTCACCTATCACTTTGTATGATGCAAATACAACGCTGGACTACTTATAATTCCTAGAACACACATTTCTGTGCTTGTCTTTGGCTCCTCTTCTTCCTTTTAACAGCTTTTTAGCACAGAGCTTTCTAGATGCTCCCATAGCCCAGGGAGGACTTAGGGGAAATTATTTCCTGTTCCTCCACTTAGCCCTACTTACCCTCCACAGTTAGCTCCATTGGTGCCCAGATGCATACGGGGTTCACTTGAGGCAAGTTTGATCAGCTCATTCCATTCTTTCTGCCATTCATCCTCTGTGTATACCAGCCCAGACTGTATGAAAGACAGACAGGGACACAATGCAATGAGAAGGCCGATGGAGGCCCAACAGTAATACCTATTCTATGTCAGGTTGTCCCACTGCTAATTTTAGTATTTGTCTTATAATGTATATTACAAAGTCTAAGGTCTTCTCCCCTTGCCAGTTAAAATGCACAAAGTAATACTCTAGGATCTCATTCATACTTGTTTGCATTTTTCCATTCTTTCCCAACCCACTGCAATCTGGCGTCTGTCTCTGTGCTCCATCACGCTACCCTACCCTCGCCCCCATAAATATTGGTTTTGTTGGGGATTTTAGAGTGGTTACACCTGGGCAATCTCATTTATTTCCATGACCTAGCCTACTACCATATATATGTTCATGACCAAACTTCCCTTTCTAGTGATCCAGACTTTCCTCTACGTTTCTGTATTCACATGTCCAGCTACCTACTGAAAACTGCCACCTACCTATCGCTACCTCAAAACATACAGAGGAGTCAAAATAGAACGATCTCTTCTAAAACCCACTCCTTCCTGTACTTTGATGTTAGTGAATAGCACCAACTACACACCTAGATACACCCAGGTAGAAACAAGAGTGTTAGCTAAGATTTTCCCCCCTCCTTATTTCTACCCAACATTTGCACCCCTTCATTCAACAAATACTAAACACAAATTACTGCAATGAACTCTGTAAATGGCTTTACCACCACTGGTTCCACACTCTTCTGATCCATTTTCTTTAATGATCCCATAAAGATGTCCCTAAAATTAAAATCTGATGTTTGTTCTGTGACTAAAAATTCTCTAATCCGCACTACTGGTTACATTTATATCAAATGCCTTAAAGGTGGCAAATACAGCTTACTTCCTAACCCCATCTACCTCTCTAGTCTGCTAGCTAACTAAATTAGCCAAAGCTCTTTGAATTGCTGTTTTATTTCTTGAGTTTTTGACTAGATTGTTTCTTCTGCCTAGAGCAGCCAATTCCCTACCCACCTAAAAAATAAGTTTTATTTTTACCTCTTAGGATTGTACTCAGGTATAGTCTCCTTCAGAAGCTTTTCTTAAGTCTCCCAGCTGGAGCCCTCCATCTCCAACTGCTGCTAGACAGACGTCTATCAAAAACTCATGCATGTTACACTTGTTACCATTATGTATTTGCATAGCATCCCCTCAGTGCTGTGAGGTACACTTGAGTTGTTAGTTGCCCTTGAACTGATTCCAACTCACATGACTCAAAGTGTGTACAGCAGGACTGCACAACACTGAGTTTTCAATTTCAAGTCTGTGACCTTTTGGAAGCATATCACCGGGCCTTACTGCCAAGGTGCCTATGGCTGGGTTTGAACCAACAACTTACTGGCTAGTGGTCATGATAAAGGCAAAGGACTTACACTGAAAACTTGAGGGGTCATGTTTCAACTGTTAAAGTTAGCTGATGTTAAAGAGCTGCTTTGGGTACACTTTAATAATTAAAACAACTTTTAAAACTATCAGTTTATAAAATGCTATTCCAAATATTTAAAAATTAAATAAAGGTTATATACGTTATAGTAGATGGCTTCAAAATTTCCTAGGAACACTCCATTATCTTTTAATTTTTGTATGTGGGGTACTGCAGCCACTGATAGATAAATCCAGGCAAACTCTGTGCCCCTCTCAGCTTGGCTTCCTGTTTTTATACACATAACCACTAGGTGGCACCAGTTTAGTCTGAAAATGGCCCTCGCCAGGCTTTCATCTATTTCAACACAAGGCCTTTGAAATCAAAGGCAATTTAGTTTGGTGTTTGGTACTGGCTCAAAACTCCCAGTTCATCAAGAGCAAAAGACTGATCCTTCCCTACCCACTATTCTATGTGCATGTATTTCCCTTGGGGACTTTGAGAGAGATAGGCTGGATGACAAGGGATGGCTATTTTTTGGTCTCCTGGCTAAATACCAGGGTGATCACATCCCCTCTTTAAATAATAACTACAATGGCGTTAGTAGCTAGAATTGGGCATGCCTATTTTTTGAATGTTGTGATCCTGTCTACCTAATAGCTAGCCCTTGGCCTTCTCTTACCTCTGAGGTCTCAACTTAGGTTCTGGTATGAATTCAACAGTGAAGAAAAGAAGGCAGCGCCAACTACTGGTTTGCTTTGGCTTAAAGCTCTAGGCTGGTTCTAGCGCAGACAAAAGCAGCTTGCCTCAGGATCTGTCCCGCTCACCAGGGAGCCGAGCCACACTGGGGGTGGGTGGTCACAAAGAATGCAATTTACTTGGTCTTCCCCTTGTAATTTTATTTCTCTCGGGAATCTTCTGGGAAAGATTGGCTTGATCAAGGGCAGTACTCTGATCTTATTAGCATCCTTCTTTAAACAACTGGGCTCTTTGTTTTAGAGAAAAGACCTACCACCATTCTATTTACATAGCTTAAATCTTTCAGGTATTAACTTTTCCTAACTAAAACAAACAATTCTTAGTTCTATATTATGGCCAGTTATAGGAGAGCAACTAAAGGAGAAAAGATAAAGAAGGAAAGCTTCCCAGAGATTTTCTCAGATTTCGTGAGAGCCACCAGATTGACTCGTGAGGGAAAGGCAGAAACACAAACAGTGAGGAAACAAGGAGCCTCATTAGCTCCATGGGAGCCTTGGTGGCACAGTCGGGTAAGTGCTGGGCTGCTAACCCCAGGGACTCTCTCTGGTTCAAACCCACGAGCTGCTCTGTGGGAGAAGAGATGAGGCTATCTGTTCCTGTAAAGCTGTACAGCCTCGGAAACTACCTAGAGTTGCTGTGAGTGGGGATCGACTCAGTGCAATGAGGATGATCTCTATGTAAGGTATTAAGTCATAATTAAAGGGCAGGGACTAGTAAACTCATCCTGCTAGGGGCCCGGCAGTGGTGCTTCAGGTGCTTCAACGCTCTCCTCTGCTCTTATAGCAGAAAAGATTATACGCAAAAACCAACTCCAAATCAAACACCAGTGCACTGAGTTGATTCCAGCACACAGGGGCCCTATCTATACAGGATTTGATCGTTCTTCCACAGAATAGCTGGTGGGTTTGAACCACCAAACTTGTGGTTAGCAGTCCAATGCTTACCTAACACCACCAGCAGAGCTCCGTACATTTATAAACCTACAGCTCTGGTTGTGTTCTGATATTTGTCACAACAACAACTGGTGGGCCATTGTTTGCCTAACCATGAAAAGCACACCGATCCGTTATTTTCTTATCCAGGCGCCGCCTCATCATTTGCTAAGTCCTTGAGAAGTGCCATTCAAACTCAGTTTAACAGGTGCACACTTAAACATTTTCAGACAAATTAAAAACTCGATACATGAAAAACACTGAAAAAATTTAAGCACTTATAGTTCTAAGGATGTAAACATTGTTAAGTCCTTAAAATTTGGTCTATATTATAAGCAAAATAACAACAACAAAAAACACCCAGTAAAGCAAAGGTCGAATGGAACGGCCATATTTTCGTTGACAGAGGAGCCATAGGCCTCTGGAGCACAATGCTCCACAGCTCCTAGGTGGGGCTCAGCTCCCCCCACCAGGGCTCAGACACAGCAGAGGGCCCTGAGCTACCCTGTCGCATGAGCTGCATTTCCCGTGTCTGCGAGGACAGTAACACTGACCTAGCACCCACAGACATTTCCTATGCCTCTGCACCCAGGCATTTCTCCTAGGTAGCTTTAACCCTGAGAAACAAGGTGCCCGACCCAAGCTCCCCGACCTCTTTATTCTGTTGTGTTTGCTGCCATCTCCAGCGCCGTTTCAAGGCTTCCTTTTCCACTCCCTTTTCCATCAGTGCATACAAAGCTTTCCGGAGCATCAAGTCCCGATCATGGAAGCCCCACATCCCTGTGACAAGAAAGCAAGGTGGTGACCCAGAGAGCAAGACACAGCACTGTGACTCAGTTACTCAATTCCACTTGTTCATTATGATACACAGATCCCGCCTGAAGGAAAACTAGCTGCGGCCAGGTTCAATGAACCCCCTGCTGTAGCTGAGAAAAGACCAGATTTAACCAGGAAAGGGAAGATGTTACTACTCAGGCAGTTTAGACTTCGGGCACTTTGGGGTGGGTGGAGGAGGGATGCCACATTCCAAGCCCTGACAGGAAGTCCTTGATCCTCAAGGAAGTCTGGCAAACTAAAATACAAAGTGGTAGCTGATAAGATGGGTCTCACACATTAAAATCAGTATCAAGACCATGAGGGGTGTTGGAAAATAAAGGACTTTTAAAAAGCTGAGGCAAATAGTGTTGTAAATAAACCTTATACGTATATACTTGTGTATAAGACAAGTTTTTCAGCACATTTTTAATGGTTTTTGTGGTAAAATTAGATGCCTTGGCTGATGTTCAGGTCGGCTTACACTCGAGCATATACGGTAATTTGAAATAAAGCTTACAAATGATGGCTGAAAACACCTTTTATACACACCAAAGGAATAAATATTAAGCATGAAAAATAAAACCTCATCACCTAAGGTCAAGGTTTACTTGAGTCTCACAAATGAGGTCTGACTCCTCATTGTCCTTCCCACAGGAAAATAAAGGACAGCTTCCGAGACTCACCAAGGGAGGCTGCGTGCAGAAGGCAGTTCCCATCTCCAGTGGTTGCCAAAGGAAGCAGCCTCTGACAGGTGGGGTCCACACTCACCCACCAGTTCAAACGCCCTGCAGGAACATGACAGTGGAGGAAAGGAGAGGAACAGATTAGTCACACGTTCCTACTTCTAACACAGACTCTAGGAAGCCCACCTAGATTGTACCCATTCATATAATTACACAATTCGGAGTGCTCAATTCCTCTTTATATCTTCTTCATCCTAGTCAGTAAGAACTTGGTGAGCACGATGGGTTAGACTGGTGGTTCTCAGGGAGGTATAATTTTGTTTTCCCCTCCCCCTTAGGGACATTTGGCAATGTCTGAATGTTGTCACAATGCAGGGAGTGGAGGAGAGGTAGTGCTGGCAGCTAGTGGTTGGAGGCTAAGGATGGCGCTAAACATGATATAACACACCAGACAGCACCAACACAAGCATTATCCAGTCCAAATGTCACTAGTACTGAGGCTGAGAAACCCTAAGTTATAAGGTCAAATCCTGTGTAGTCTCTTTGGCTTGACTCTACCTCCTTCACTGTGGTCAGAAGACCAGTTAATATTGTAGCAATAAAACTCAGCATTAGTAACAGAAAAACAACTTAAAGCATGTGTTCATTACCATTTGGGGAGATCATCTCCATATACATCAGTAGGCATATGGTGTGACTTTACAAACGAACAATGAAACAGTACATAAAACATGAGTGTCACTTCTGTGTACTCATCCCATGATTGCCAATTCAGTTCTTACACAAAGAAAATATTTTATGAGTGATGCTTAAAAATGACAGTTTTCTTTAACAAAATGTTTATGGAAAGACAAAATGGTTTACAATCTTACAAGCCAGGTAACTTGCTAAATCTTTTAAAAATTAAAAATGAGCACAAATTTTTTTTCCTAATCCAAACAGTACAGAAGGGTACAAAATGAAAAGTAAAATCTTTCCTTTCATGCCCCACCTCCAATATCTAGTTCTTCTCCATTGTGAGTTTTCTAATACCTGACTCACTTCCCCACAGCAGCTCTGGTGGCATAGCGGCTACAAGTTAGGCGGCTAACCACAAGGTCAGCAATTCCAACCCACCAGCCGCTCAGGGAGAAAGATGAGGCAGTCTGCCCCTGTCCCGTGCTGCGGTCTCGGGACCCCCGGGGCAGTCCCACCCTGTCTACAGGCTCGCTAGGAGTTGGAACGGACTTGAAGGCAGTGAATCTGAGAGAGGTTTCCCCGACCGTTCAGCTGCCTCACCTCAACACATAAACTCATTTAAAAATAATTTAAGGCAGGAACATTTGTAAAGGTAAATAACTCATTTGTCAAAGGCTCGTATAAATAAATGTGACATTTCGATTGATCACCACTGTGCCTCAGTATAGCACTGCTCCTTTCTTTTACAATGGGGTTCCAGAGCCAATTACAAATAGCGTGTCCTTTTTCCTGTGTTGATTTTCAGTATCTGTAGGCTTTTCACATGTATATCTAGTCTCTCTCCATCAGACAGGAATTTTCCAGAGGGAAGTGTCTTACCTATTTCCTTTCTTTAACTTCAAAATGAGCCTAGCTCAGTACATGTTTATTTGTCTGACTGCTGACTGGGACTCTGTCATCAGAACACACACTTAGACCAGGCGCTGCTGTCCCAGCTCAGCCGCTCCAGCGCTCCCTCCTGGTGGAGGGTGGAGCCCAGGAAAGGACGCACTCACTGACCTGCCTGTTCCAAGGCCACGAGCATGGACTGTTCAATGAGGTCTCTCTCTATGAAGCTGCGGAAGTCTTCATTGTACACAGTGAGGTCTGGGAGCTGGAAGGCACAGATGGGCATTTCCAGGGGGTGCTCATTGCTCCCCCCACCCCCACCATTGGAGGAGACATGGGACCGAGCCAGGGAAACAATGCTGGAGCTGGCGTGGGAGATGCCCCTAGACAGGCGTTTTTCTGCAATGAGAAATTGAATCACCTTAGAACACACACAGCCCCGTTAGGGAACCCTCCACTTATATGGTGATGGTTACCCCTCGCCGGGAAAAACTGAAAACCTAACCGGCTACTGAATTTCAAAACCTTCTTTCTCAAGGCAAATACCAAGAGAAATACAGCAGGTGGCATTTTCTCAGGCACTCACATTAGCACCAAATGCTACACCTCTCTTCTTCTACCTTTGTCTGGAATATGTCTTCTTCCACTGCTGTTTACCAATATGATAGGACGCCCCTTCATTTAGCTGGGTCATTGATTGGAAGAAAGGAGCAGACTAGGGAAATGAGGTTTCACATATCTAGAGTTAATCAAATAATCTCTGAAATTTCTCAAGGTCTTGAGGAAATGTAGGAAAGCATTTTCACTTCACGTAAATTAATGACAAATGGTACACATTCAAGAACTTTCATACCTAACATTAATAGCATCTATGGGCACTCCTTACTATAACATTTCTTGACACCCCAAAGTCAGAGACTATATATTAGTGTAGTGTAAATATATAGCTTACTACAACTTCTCTGGATACCCATACTACATTTATAGATACATATGTCTCCAATTTATGATTTATTCAAGTCATAACTTGCTAAAAATGAAACTTCTGAATCAAAGAGTCTGTGTGCATTTAAAATTTTTGACAAAACAAATATTAACAAATTGCCCTCAGCAAGGTAGATGGTAACAGTCCTTTTAATGCCCCCTTGACATGCTCCTTAGCGCAACCATGTGGTGGTTGTCTTCCTTCCCCTATTTCTTTCACATTACCTGAAGAAGTCCTTCAGAAAGGCTACCACCACTCAAGGTGATCCACAGGGCTACGCAGGAGGGTGAGGAGAAATGGAATGATCTCCACAGGCCCCTGGACTCCATTTAGCAGCTCCCTCCCTTCCTATCCCATAGACCGAATGTCCCTTTGCTACCCCAATACCTTGAATGATGTCATCCTGCCGCTGAAGGGTGGGCCGGGGAGGTCGAGTAGCCTCTCTATCAGGAAAACCCTTTTCAGGGATCCTAGGACCACCACTCCCTTCACTAAAGGGTGGGGGCAGAGTCCCCGCATGGACTTGGCGTAGCTGCTCAAAATCACTGAGGGCTGCACTCACATCCCAATTCTTTCCTGGTCAGGAGATAAAGCAAAAGGTGAGTCGGATGCTTTGGCGAGTAGGGCACATAGGGAAACTGGAAAAGAAGCCTGAAGGTCATTCCAATCTATCAAAAATCGTACACTTCACCCTCCTTTCCTCTCCCTGCTGTCACTGTCTCCCCAACACTTCCATCCGCTGCACTTTACTAAACTGCTCCGTTGCTGGTTCAATGTGTAGGTATCTCTTAGGTAGACTTCATGAGGATGGACACTTTGTCTTTCTACTTGTCATCTATTGAGAAAACCACCTAGTACATTAAAGGTACTTGATAAATACTTGGTGAATTTATTGAATAAATAAAATGTCATACATAAACAGGAGGATTAAAAAGCATTCTTACACTACGTACTACCTTTGGTCTTCAGATATTCAGGTGGTATTATCTAAACTGGCAATTAACTGAGATGTGACTTTTCAAGGGTCATTTAAAAAGTCTCTCTGATGTGTGTCAGAGATGTGTGTCCAGAGGGTATACAGAGCTGGTTGTCATTACAACAATTGAGGTATTACAGCCAAGTGCGATCAACTGCTCTGCTCTACAGAATGAAATATACTTTGATCTTATTATCATAAGGTGTCCTTCCTTAATCTCTCAGGGCTCAAAGCAACAACAATCTAGGAGATTATTTAAGGAAAGAATAAGAGAAAACTCGTTTGAGGGAAAATAATCTACAAACGAAATAGCGAACTTTAAATTCATCTTGCTTAACTTGACAGCTAGCACTGGAAGCACTCCTAATATGTAATAGGTACTTGAGTGACCATCAAATTATGAAAACAAGGCCCCTCCTGTACTCACACAGTGGAATACAAATATTTGAATAAAATTTTAAACATTCTGATACCTTAATCATTGTCTTGATTTCATTTGTCATTATTTGAAAAATACTAAGCCACTTACTTATAAATGTTTGGAAAATCCAGGCACACTGTTACTAGAAAACACAACTGAAGCCAATACTGAAATTGAGTTTTAAAAATTGATCATATAATAATCAGAACTGAAAGCACCCTTAGACATCCACTAACCTAAAACCTCATTTGAGAGCAGTCTATCCTGCACACACGGGCTGCTGTGCGCCAGAACTGAGTAACAACAGCTGAAGTTTGGAGGGCTAAGTACCTTTCTTATTATCACTTAGTAATTGAAAAAATAATAAAAACTAAAATCTCATTTTACAAATTAATAAAATGAAGTAAAGTGATTTGCCCAAAGTCATAGTTAGATTGCTTTGGGGTTCTGCAGGATTCAAGCACTCCAGTTTCCTAACTCTGAGATCAGAGACGCAGATGGGCTTCAGGGCATCCTAAACCACCTGCAATTGTATACAAAATTTGGTGGTGTCTGTATTTTTCTAGGGAAAGGGCTGATAGCTATTAGAGGGCACTATGATTGCCCCCCAAAAGATTTAAAAATCACTACCCTACTGAACCCTGGTGGTTACACATTGGGCTGTTAACTACAAGGTCAGCAGTTCAAAACCACAAGCCACTCCTCGCAAGAACGATGAGGCTTTCCACTTCTGTATAAAATCACAGTCTTGGAAACCCACAGGGCAATTCTAGTCTGTCCTATAGGGGAACTGTGAGTCAGAATTAACTCCCTAGCAATGCGTTTGATTTTTTTTTTCACATTTATATTGTGTATATTTATACGCGTTGAATTTTTTTAATTGAGAAAAAGATCCTAAATTGTTAATTTGTCATATGAATTTATCAGTTGCTTGCTACCCTCAAATTATTCAGTAAATATGTACTTGTTAAAAAAAACCACCCCTTGCTGTTCTAACCATTTGCCACCACTGTGTCCTACCTCGAATCCACTTGAAAGAATCTCATGGAACAAATTCTGATCATTTTCATGATTACAATCTTCAATGGCTTATCACAACCTACTTAAAGCCTAGGCTCCTTTACCTGATATCTATGCTTTCTATGGCCTAGCCCCAATCTACTTTCTCATCTTTGTTCTGTGCCTCAGTTGCCTCATCAGTGCACATGGAGGTGATCGCAATAGCATCTCACAGTAGGCTATCATGAAGATTAAATGGAGTAGAAATCTGTGAAAAATGGAGACAATAATAACACCTCATAGGATTATTATAAAGGCTAAATGAGTGGAACGTCCTTACAATAGTGTGTGATATGAAGAAAGCCATACTTACGTGTTTACTGTTATTGCTGATGTTTTTCCTATAACTATATTGCTCCAGTTAAGTTGCACTAATCATCTAAGGCTGATGACTTTACTTCCAACTGGAGCAAGAGACAGCTCCCTTTCTGTCC